AGGATGACATGAAAACTTGTGAAGTATTCAATTTTTTTGATAAATATTAAAATATAAGAATGTAAAGTAGATGTATATATGAATAAATTAGTATACTACAAAAACAAAGAACAAAAAATAAAGAAGGACTGAAGATTCCTAGCAGGCTTCAGCACTGCTAGGACTTCAGCACTGTGGACAGAGGCCACTGGCAGTTCCACAGCTATGCCTGGGACTGTGGTTGCGTGGAAGATGATACACACACAACCTTCAGGTGGGGCCAGAAATCCATGCTGTTCACTCAGTACCTTACAGGGTATAAAGCTCTTCCCCCTTATCAAACTCATTCTGTCCTCACTCAACTATCAGCCCAGGAAGCAGACAGAAAAGGGATTATTTTCTTTTTTTTTAATTTTATTTTTTTAAATATATTTTATTGATTATGCTATTACAGTTGTCCCATTTCCCCCCTTCATTCCACTCTACCCTGCACACCCCTACCCCCATATTACCTTCCTTTAGTTCATGTCCATGTGTCATAAGTTCTTTAGCTTCTACATTTCCCACACCACTCTTGCCCTCCCCCACCATCTATGCTACTTATTCTCTGTACCTTCTCCCCTCTTTCCCTCCTCCCACTCTCCTGTTACTAACCCTCCATGTGATCTCCATTTCTGTGGCTCCACTCCTGATCTACCTGTCCACTTAATTTGCTTTTGTTTTAGGTGTGGTTGTTAATATCTGTGAGTTTGCTGTCCTTTCACTGTTCATCTTTTTTAACTCCTTTTTTTTTTAGATAAGTCCCTTTAACATTTCGTATAATAAGGGCTTGGTGATGATGAACTCCTTAACCTGACCTTATCTGTGAAGCACTTTATCTTCCCTTCCATTCTAAATGAAAGCTTTGCTGGATAGAGCAATCTTGGATGTAGGTCCTTGGCTTTCCTGACCCGGAATACTTCTTTCCAGCCCCTTCTTGCCTGTAAGATCTCTTTTGAGAAATCAGCAGACAGTCTGATGGGAACTCCTATGTAGGTGACTGTCCCATTTATCCCTTGCTGCTTCTAGAATTCTCTCCTTCATTTTAATCTTGACTAATGTAATTATGATGTGCCATGGTGTGTTCCTCCTTGGGTCCACCTTCTTTGGGACTCTCTGAGCTTCCTGGACTTCCTGGAAGTCTGTTTCCTTTGCCAGATTGGGGAAGTTCTTTTTTATTATTTGTTCAAATAAGGTTTCCACCCGTAACTGTTCCTCTTCCCCTTCTGGTACCCCTTTAAACGTTCGAATGTTGGAATGTTTAAAGATGTCTTGGGGGTTCCTAAGCCTCTCCTCATTTTTTTGAATTCTTGTTCCTTCATTTTCTGTTTGGTTGTTTCTTTCTTCCTTTTGGTCCACTCTATTGATTTGAGTCCCAGTTTTCTTTTTTTTTTTTTAATTTTTTTATTGATTATGCTGTTACAGTTGTTCTATTCCCCCCTTCATTCCCCTCCACCCTACCCCCCATCCCCACCATTACCCCCCCTTTAGTTTATGACCATGTGTCTCAAGTCCTTTAGATTCTATATTTCCCATGCTATTCTTGCCCCCCCATCTATTTTCTATCTACTGTCTATGCTACTTATTTTCTGTACCTTCTCCCCCCATCTCCTCCTCCCACTCCCCTGTTGCTAACCCTCCTTGAGATCTTCATTTCTATGTTTCCACTCCTGATCTAGCTGTCCTTTTAGTTTGCTTTTGTTTTAGGTGTGGTTGTTAATAACTGTGAGTTTGTTGTCCTTTCACTGTTCATGTTTCTTTAACTTCTTTTTCTTAGATAAGTCCCTTTAACATTTCATATAATAAGGGCTTGGTGATGATGAACTCCTTGAATTTGATCTTATCTGAGAAGCACCTTATCTGTCCTTCCATTCTAAATGAAAGCTTTGCTGGATAGAGCAATCTTGGTTGTAGGTCTTTAGATTTCATGACTTGGAATACCTCTTTCCAGCCCCTTCTTGCCTGTAAGGTCTCTTTTGAGAAATCAGCTGACAGTCTGATGGGAACTCCTTTGTAGGTGACTGTCCCCTTAGCTCTTGCTGCTTCTAGGATTCTCTCCTTCATTTTAATTTTGGCTAATGTAATGATGATGTGCCTTGGTGTGTTCCTTCTTGGGTCCAACTTCTTTGGGACTCTGAGCTTCATGGGTTTCCTGGAAGTCTATTTCCTTTGCCAGATTGGGGAAATTCTCCTTTATTATTTGTTCAAATAAGTTTTCCACTGGTGGCTGTTCCTTTCCCCCTTCTGGTACCCCTATAATTCGGATATTGGGGCATTTAAAGATGTCCTGGAGGTTCCTAAGACTCTCCTCAATTCTTGCTTCTTCACTCTTTTCTGTTTGGCCATTATTTGCTTTCTTCTGGTCCACTCCATTGATTTGAGTCCCAGTTTCCTTTTCATTGCTATTGGTGTCCTGTGCAATTCCATTCATTTCAATTAGTTTCGCCTTCAAATATTTGTCTAATTTGTGGCTATAATCAACCAGTTCTGGTAGGATCCTGATCACCAGTGTTTTAAACTGTGCGTCTGAGAGTTTTGCTATTTCTTCATCGCTTAGATCTATGGGCTCTGGAGCTTTGAGATCTTGCGACATTTTTGGTCTGTTCTGGCCCTTTAAGTGTGAGAAGCGGTGCCTTGGACTCTCAGGTCGCTGGGTTGTGACACTGTATGTGGGGGCATGGTCAGAGCGGGGAAATTGCGACCCCCTCTGCTGTTTCTCACAGCTGGGTGAGGATCAGCGTCTTAGGTGGTTCACCTGGGCCGGGCCACTCAGAGTCGCTGGGTTATGACGCTGTATGTGGAGGTGGGGTCAGAGCAGGGAAATGGTGGCGCCCTCCACTGCCACTTGCCGCGGGGACCCGCCTGGCTCCAGTCCAACCGCCCACTCCCTCACCTGTCCGCCCGCGCACAAATGCGCGACCACAGTCAACATGCAGCACCGCTTCCCCACTGTCTCCCCCGCGGTCGCTTGCCTGGTGGCTCACTCGGTCGCTCACTAGGTCCTACCCTGCGCCTGGATTCCGCGCGTCTGAGTCTGTCTGACCAAGTCCTCCTGTGCAACCCCGCTTCATCAGCTGCTGGTTTCACCCCTTACCGGTCAGGCTGAAGAATTTGTTGTTAACGGACTTCCGAAAAGTTCAGTTTTCCGTGTTCTGGCTGTGTTTTCTGTTGCTAATACTTAGTTGTCTCTAAACTTGGTTGTGTGAGAAGGCACGGCACATCCACCTATGCCTCCATCTTGGCAGAAGTCTCGAAAAGGGATTATTTTCTAGATTTTTACAGATGAGGAAACTGAGGTTTAGCCAAGTCAAACTTCAAGTAACCCTTTGGGTGGGGTGGGGCAGAAAACACATTACTCCATGTTTAATAAATGTAGCAGCCACTGTTTCCCTTGGAGCAATGAGTTTCCCTAGTGACAAAGAGGCGTGCACTTGAGCCAAAGTGGGAGAGGGTAAATGGACATCTGTGTGGAACCGAGGTTCCAGTGTCAAAGTCATTTTCACTGGGGGCCACATGAGCCTCGCGATTGCCTTCAAAGCCGAATGTAATTTTAGGACTGTATAAATGTAACTACTCCTTAATTAGAGGCAAGGAGCTTGGCACTGCCGCCAGGTAGAAACAAGGTGCCGGGTTGAATAAAACAAGCTGGAGGGCCGGATTCAGCCTGCGGTCCTTGTTGTTTGCCACCTGTGCTCAAGCTAGTCCCAGGAACAAGTGGCAGTTGGTAGAAGGAAGAGATCTGGGAGGGCCAGTCATGACTGCTGGATTGAGGGTGGGGACCTCTGTGGGTCATTAGGGCCCACAAAGGACCAAGCTGTTATGCCCCCTTTTCTGTGCCAATGCTTAGCTTCACTGAACCTGGAGACAAGGAGAAGGAAACCTGTAGGATGTTATTAAGATGCCTCCAAGCCTGATAGACCTCCATTGGAAAACTCTGGGGAGAGGTATGGAAGCCCTGGGAGTGAAAGGGATGAGTTGTGCAGGTGGCAAGAAATCCTGTGACGTGGCTATAGGCCTGGCTACTTATGTCTCTCTATTCCCAGTGAGTAGAAAGGGGGGCGGGGTGCTAGACCACGGAGCAGCCCATTCCTTGCGGTGTACTTTGAGAGGCAGTCATTGGTGTACTTTAGACAGAGGCCATTGGCTGTGCCTCCAGCTATTCCTAGAACTGTGGGTGGGTTAAGAACATGGGTACTGCAGCCAGACTACCAGGTTCCCCTGCTTCCTGGCTGTGCAACTGTATGATCTTGAGAAACTTTCATCCTCTCTTCTTCACTTTTCTCATCTGTAATACAAATCTCATAGGGATGCTTTGTAGATGAATTGATTACTTTATACAAAGCACTTAGAACTTCCCATAAAAATAAAAAATGTTAACAAGTATTCATATTGGGGGCCCCTTTAGGTTAGAGGTCAAGTTTCTGCATCTGAGCCACAGTCTAGAGATGCTTTCCTGCTACAGGTTCTGGTTTTGTTTTCTTCTAGGTAAAAGGGGTGAGTGGGGATTTTGTAGTCCTCCAAAAGCTTCTCCAGACTGTAGTGTACCCAACCCTATTATGTCACATTAAAACAACTAGCAAAAATGGGTAGGAAACTCAGACCAAGGAGGGCCCAGAAGACAAGGAGAAAACAAGCCAACTAGCTTCCCTACTTTGTAGTTCAGCTGGAACTGGGAAAAGAAGTGTCTCAATGGGCAATACACAGAAGACAGGCTTAGAGGCCTCACTTCTCCCTCAATTTCTCCCCAAATTGGCACCTCTTCAGTACCTCCATGTAACCCCCACCTCCTCCTACTCCCACCAACCATTAGATTCTTTGGCAGATCAGTACCAGGAAAGCTCTAGAAGGAGACACTATGTTCTTGGAGGCCACAGATTCTCTACTTTGACTGTCTTAGACTCAGACTCAGGAATTGGCTAATTATAGGAAATCACACAGAAACTCACCAGGTGCCTCAAACAACAGGAAACAGGAAGCTGAAACAGCATCACAATCTCTTTATTAGGGTTTCCACTATGCCCAGCCTTTGAGAGCATCGGCTCCTTCTGGAGTGAAGGCTGAGCCATGGGGAAGAGCATGCAGCTGGAATGATGGGAAGACAGGGCTTGGGCATGTTCCCCTCAGCTTACTGCCAAGTTACCTTCCTCAGAAAAGCACATAGGAAAGGCATGAGGGACCACAGGGCATTGGATCCTCCATTGTTATTGAGTACTCTCAGAACCCCCTCACAAGCCTGAGTTTGGCTGGAAGACAGAGCACAGGCCATCTGTTGAAGGAGGCTAAGCATGAAGTCCTGTGTTTCAACACAAATGGAAAGGCCTTGCTTCTTATACCTTGTTCATAGTTGTGGTCACACCAACCCATTCTAGACACATTGCAATTTGGGTTCTTAGTCACTGGCCCAGACCAGACCTGATACCCTCTCTATGATCCGGCATATCAGGGTATGCGGCCCAGAGGGAAGATTTTCCTCAGTGCTAGTTGAGTCTAATGGAAATTTTTTTCTTTCCAGATTGCCAAAAGCAGTGGTAGCGGTAAAGCAACAATGGGGAAAGTGCCCAGTCCTACCCCACTCTAGGGCTGACAGGAACGGGCATGGTGCATTAATATCCCCCACTCAGCAGGATCTCTGTTGTCTGGGCTACAAGCAGGGACCCAGAGAGACCTTGGGCCAATTCAAATTCAGCGGCATGGAGTAGTAATTTTATTCCACTGTAATAAAGGGTAAAAAGGGGTTATAGTTACAGGTGCTGCCAGGATGTCCTGAAATTCTGGCATCAAGGTTGTTCTGCCTTTTAGTGACAAGTATATATCCCTTTACTCTGCTGGTTGGAACAGGACATGCTTGCAGGGTCACTAGAACCTGTTTACAGCCCTACCTGGAGGTTACTCTTGGCTCTGGGGTGGTCAGGGCTAACCCAGGCAGCTTCTGCTAAGCTTCCTTCTTGGCTTTAGGCCTTTCTGGCACTACTCTTATTGAAGCTGAGACCTGCAATTGTTGAGGTTATGCTTCGGGCTGAGAGGCCTAGGCACCATCCTGGGCTGACCCGCCAGTGAGGTGCCCTCTTCCCAGGCAGTTTGATTCTGTGCTTCCCATATTAGTGATAGGAATGGGGGAATCCCCAGATTTGGCCACTGAAACAAGGCCAGGGTGACATCCCTCAGGGAGCACCAGGGCTAGAAAGGCCAGTGCCAACCCTGCAGCCCCAGTCACTTGAGCTGAGGGCAGGAAGAGGCAATGTGCTCATGGCTTTGGTTGACCTCAAAGGAAGAGCACTTGAAAGGGAGTCAGTACCTAGGAGTAAGCAAACAGCTCCATCCCTGGGATCCAAAGGGGCCATTGCTCAAAAGTGCAGAGCCTGCATCTGTTGGGGAAGGCTGGTCTTAGGAGAGGAAGCTACTGGGGAGACCTAAAGAGGTTATGAAGCCATAGCTCCTGCCTCAGCTGACTCTGTTGCTGCAGCTTCACTGAGTTACCCGTTTTTAAATTTGAGAGTGGGGAAGAGGACTGCTGGGGGAAACACAGGCTTAGGGCAGATGGTCTTCAGAGGAGCATATTTATAACCCCAGCCTGTCTTGGTTGAGGGATGGGGTGGGTGGTGCCTGGGAAAAGCACTGATCTCAAGAAGACAAGACTGAAACATTTTCTCCTACCCTTATTAGATAGAGTCAGACACTAATTTCTGTGCTTGGCAGAATTTCAGATACTCATAGTTATGGAAGGGTATGAAAAGGAGGAGAGCTGAGCTCACTAGGTTTATGAAAGTTTGAACGTCTCCTGGACAGGGGGTTGGGGTGGGTCTTCCACACTCTGAACTGGGGGAGGTATGGAACCTCTCCTGTGGTAAAAAGTTAGATGCCTACGGAGAAGGTGGTTGCTTTTCTGCCTTCTAGGACTCTCTTGGACTGGGGACTCTATCCTTTGCAGGGATGGGGAGCAGTGTCCTCTGGACCCTCTGCAGCATACCCCTACCAGGGAAGCTTGGTGTCCTGGAATAGGCAGAGGTGGCCCCAAATGGGCCTGATCTTGTTGTGGAAGAACTCTGGGGGCCCACTTTGTCAGGCCCTGGGATCCGCTAGCTTGATCTGGCACATGGTCTTTCACCACTCACCCACAGAAAGCTAGAAGCTGCAGCTCCAGAGAGGTAGGCATCTCCTTGATCTGTGAAGGACAGGAAATGAGAAGGTGGACTTCCAGTCCCTGTGACTGAGACGAGGCAGGAGAAAAAAGCTGTTCAGCCCTAAAAGTCCACAGCTTGTCTTTACTCAAAATGACCTGTTCATAAGATCAAGCAGCTGAAGGCCATTGATGCAAAAAGTGATTTCCCAGGACAGTGAGCAAGAGGCCCTGTGCTTAATGTGCTTTAATCTCAGGCCAGGCTGCTTCAGATGCAGTCCTTGCACCTGAGTCATGTGCTTCCTTGCTTTTTTGGGGCTGGACTGAGTAACAACCCCTCCTACTGATCAGTCCTGAGTATGGATAAGGAATATTTACCAGAAGCTGTGTTTTGAAATGTTCAGGATCATATACATGAACCCAGATCAATCTTCTGTCTGCTTCATTTCAGTCCTAAGTAATCCAACTCCAGAAGCTTTTCACTGCTTCCAGTTCAAGCAGTTTCTGCAGGAGGAGACCATATACCACACTCCTGGTTGTAGCTCCCCCTTCTTCTGAGCTGGATGCTGCTGCTTCTGGAAGTATCCTATTTAGTGCTAGTTACTTCAGCAATGGGGATATGTTAGCTTCTGTATGACTGAACTAACACCCTCTCAAGTAACTCTTGGTAGTCAGATGTAGCTAAACCTGCCATTAGGTTGGAAACAAAAACCTGAACCCAAGGGCCCACCCGAGGGCTGATCCACAGCAGGCACTGACTTGAGGACTAGAGAACTTAGGATAGCTGGGACTTAGAGGCCAGGTATGGTGGCCTGGTGGCAGCCCCTGCGTATCCCCAAAGTCCTCCCATTCTAGGCCCAGGCCTTAGTCTGGTGGGGAGGAATATGTAGTTAATACTGGGGAGAAGTAGCAACTGAGGCCTTATCTCAGTGATGAAGAGAGGGGAAAATTGATGCCTTCTGTGAGGCTTTGCTGGGACTTTATCTGCTTAACAGACCTGAGAAGTCAATTCTCTTCTCAGCTTCTGCCACTTATCCTCATTTCCAGGGTGATGGAAAGGAGTCCCTGCTCAGGGCTTCTGAGGAGCTCCAGAAGAGGCTGGCTCCGTTCTCTGTATAATGCACACTTTTCTAGGTCTACAATTGAGCTGAACTGAAAGGATAGAAAAGATGGGCCTTCTCCTGTTCTCTTCCATCCTGATCTTGTCCTCTTTGGAGCCCAGGCTACAGGGCTCCATGGTAGCTGACTTGGGTGAAGCATCTAACACACAAGGCTGTAACTCCTGCCATCAGACTGGTTCCATTTAGGCCCCTTGGACTGTAGGCCATGAGCTCACATCTGAAAAACAAGGGCCAGGATGGCTCACTTTGGTTTTTGATTGTTCTTCTAAAGACTTTGACTTAAATGTCCTGGCTGAGAGGTTCTAGTCTTCTGGGTCCCTGGCAAGGACTACCTCCCCCTTTTCTAATTAGGATTCCACAGACTAGTCATCTTCTCTGTTACCAGGAAGTGAAATTTAAATAAATAACGGGCTGAAGTGCTGTGGTGGTGTTTAACCATTTTCCCACCCCAGCACATCTGAGGGATATAATACACACCTACTGAAACAGTGGCTCACCACAGAAGGGATTTTCAATGGGGGAACATGGAACCTGTATTTCCAGGAGCACATGTGAATCTGATATGCCCCTAATTAGGAATCACTTGGTCAGGGCCTTATTTAATGGAATTGGAACTGGCCAATAGAATAGGGTGAGTCAGGACCCCCTCATCTATACTAGTGGGTTCTCAAAAGAACTTCAGACATTTTTAAACCAGAAGAACCAGGTCTCTGAAGATGTGGACAGCTAGGAGTGTACGTGTGTGTGTGCACATATCCATGTGCCATGGCAGGTCCAGTGTACCATGTGAAGGTGGGGGGTATGTTTCCAGGACTGGGTGCTGCCATAGCTCCCAGGGCTTCTCCCTGTGGTAATGCATTTACTGCCTCTGTTGTGAGGTGAATGGTGGTTTCAGTGCCATAAAGTTTGGAGACAAACTGAGATGCCGGCAGTGCTCCATCCTCGTAAGTCTCTACCGAGGGCTGGTAGGGGAAAGAGAGAACGAAAAAGGAGAGAAAGCCACTGTCCCTGAATTGAATTTCTCTGCTCCATGCTATCCAGGGGGTTTCAGGTGAATGGCTGCACTGTTTGGGCGAGCAGCCAAGATGTAGATGACATTCTCCCGCAGGAAGGTAGGCCAGTCCACAGACCTGGAGTGGAATCAAAGCACAGGTTTGTGAGGATGGTTTGTTCTGGGCCGAGCCCAGAAGCTGAAGAGACCTGATCCAGTGTCAGCAGGGCTTGAGTTGGACAAAAAAGTCAGGGAATCCCTGGAAGCCCGACATGGTTATGGCCAGCTGTCCTTCCAAGGTGACAGACCAGCTTGCTGGCCCTATGGATCTGGGGTCAAATGTGCACTACGGGAGCCTGCTCTCTGGGTGGGCACTTGCTGGGGTGTTTTTGGTCTTTGTTTTTTCTGGATCTTTTAAGTTGCCAGATAAAAGATTTTATTTATTTTTAGAGAGCGGGGAAAGGAGGGAAAAAGAGAGAGAAAAAAAAACACTAATGTGTGGTTGCCACTCACGTGCCCCCTACTGAGGATCTGGCCTGCAACCCAGGCATGTGCCCTGACTGGGAATTAAACTGGTGACCCTTTGGTTCACAGGCTGGCACAGGCTGAGCCACACCAGCCAGGGCTGGCACTTGCTGTTTTGAGGTGGCCATAGGTAACGCCCTGTCTTACTTGTGTGTGTTGGGAGGTCAGAGGAGCAGATGGCCAGACGAGGAGGTCCCACTCACCTGGACTCATGCTCTGTGGGCAGCAGGGCCTTGTCCTGACTCTTGCTGCTGCTGCTGGCTGGGCTGCTGTCTGCTATGGGACCCACATGGCTGATGCTGTTGGGCACAAGGATGTGGACATGCAGTTAGGAGTAGGACAGTGAAAGACCCGGCCCCCTCCCAAACTCCAGTGAACCCATGTCTCTAGATGATGTGCGTGTCTAGGCTTTCTGACACGGGGCGACAGTGTGGAGTAGAGGCTGCCCAACGCCTCAGCCAACAGGAGTCACTGCCTCGTCTAATACATAGGAGGATCCTCGCCTGGCTGTTAGCAGGAAAAACAGAGAGTATCTTTCATATTTAGAGGCATGTGGCATGGAAAAAGGAGGCAGGTACATGAGTGGGGGCAGGGATTGGTAGGCACAGACCTGACACTGGAGGAAGGAGCCTCTGGGAGGTGTTTGCAGAACCAAGAGTGCTGTGCACGGCGGCACTCTGCCTCACTGATGGTGCTCCCATGGCCCCATGCCAGGAAGGTGGCTCGGGCTCGCTCCCGCTCCTTGACAGTCAGAAGTCTTAAAAGAGAGTTCTGGGGAAGAAGAGACAAGATCTTGGAGGGGAAAATATTTTGTAAACTGTCAGCCACAGAGAATTTTACCTCCGTTAACACTTCTGCAACCTCCGTTTGAAGCTGCCCAGAGCCTTTCTTGTAGCACCATTTGTTGTGGTGTCCAGTGCACACCAGTCTTCCCTGGGTAGTTTACCAGCCTAGGCACTGAGTCATCTGTCATTGGATGGAACCTGAGCTCTTTTCTGGTACTGGTTCCTGCTCAGGGAGTACCCAGTGCTCCACCAACCTGCCCGGCATGCTCCCAGGTGTCTGTCACCCAGCATCCCATAGACATTCACCCCAGCTGGCCTTTACCTGGGGACGCAATTGCTGCAGGAGTAGGAGAGACTCATGGGACAAGAAGTCAGGCCACTCTATGTGTCCTCGATGATCAGGGTCCAGGGCTGCAAACTGGCGGGCTGCCTGCTCCTCTTGCTCCTGGCTTAGAGCCCTGTCACTGTCCCCCCGCTTTGCTGCTTGGTGGCGGTAGCGCAGGAAGTCCTCCCATGTCAGGGAGCAATCTAGGGGGGATGCACCACATGCTGCCATGCCCACTCCTTCCTCAGCCTATGGGGCCCTCCACTCCACCCTCTAGGGTACCCACTAGAGCCCCTTCATCCACAGTTCTTGCAGAGTCTTTGTCTCTAACAACCAGGACAACTCAGGCATGGGTGCCCCTGCTGGCCAACAGCTTGGGAACAGGGACCTTTTTACCCTTTACCCCTCAAATTCCAGGATACTCCTTTCATCCTAGAAGGTATGATGGGGAAATCTGCCTAGCACCTCTCCATCCAACAGTACCATCCAGCCTTACCAGGGATGACTTTACATTGCTGAAAGGTCTCCGTGAGGCTATACATTTCCTCCTCAGTTAGCAGCAAGTTGAGGTTATCCTGGGGGTGGAGGGTGAGAAAAGCTGTGTCAGTGGTCACACAGTCCAAAGAAAGGCCAAAGATCAAGAGAAATGGAAACAGTATCTGAATTGAAAGGCAATTCTGAGATCACCTAATCCTAGCCACTCATTCATAACTGAGGAGACTGAAGCCCCAGAAGGGGAAAGGACTTGCTTCAATCTGCTCAACTGTGGGGCAGAATCTCCCCCAGAACCCAAGTATCCTGACTCCGGTCCTGAGTCCCTTTTACTAAAATAGTGGTTTTAAAATTATTTTTTTGAGATACCCTTGGGTATCTTGAAGTGCTTTAGGAAGCTGCTGCAAGGAAGAAAGGGGTCTAGTAAGTGGGTAGGGTTGTGAATCCCTGGCCCCGTTAACCAGAGCCGCTACATCTTTATCCACTTTATGGATTTGCTTTCTGTGTTAGACTGTGCTTGAGGAGTTATTTTAGTGAAAAATAATTTCAACTGTAACTCTGCTCTTAGTGGGTTGTTGTTTCACTTTAAATTACTCCAGAGTGGTTTTGAAAGAGACGCAATCACGACAAAGTTCCAAAACCAAATGAGGTTTATTTGTGGTGCCATAGATGGTTTTTGTTTGTTTTGTTTTCTTATCCTTACCTGAGGACATTTTTTTTCATTGCTCTTTGAGAGAGAGAGGGAGAGAGAAACATGGATGTGAGAGATAAGCATCGACTGGTTATCTCCTGTAGGGGACCAGACCAGGGATTAAACCCACTACCTAGGTATTTGCCCTGACCGGGTACTGAACCCACAACCCTTCAGTTATGGGACAATGCCCCACCCAACTGAGCCACACCAGCCAGGGTGAGAAGTTTTACCTCCAAAAGAGTGCTAATAGGTTATTTTGTTAACATTAATTCACAATCTTTAAAATATCTAAGGTTCTTTCTAGTAGGTTATTTCCCCCCCTAAAATAGCAGCAAAGAACAGGAGCAGACACATTTCATGAATATTCACTTGTGGATTTCATAAGGAACTCAGACCATTCCTTCAATAACAACTTTTGAGGACTTGTATATGTTGTGCACAATGATGTGTGAGATGTTTGCTGTGGCTGGGGTGTCGAGTACACATGTGGAGGAAGAGCAAGAAGGAATGATAAAAGGGAGGTGAGGCAAGCAGAAGCCTGACTGTGAGGAGCCTCAAATGCCCTATAATAAGCCCCTCAAATTGGGCCTTTGTCCTGAGAATGAGGGGAGTCCCTGAAGGGTGTTTCAGTGTGGAGTGCCACGGTGAGATCCTTGGCTGCTGTGTGGAAAATGGATTAAAGGGGCAAAGTCTGGGGGCATGAACAGCAGTTAGGGGGCTGTTGCAACAGTGTAGATGAGAAAAGATGGGTAACCAAGACATGAGAACAGAAAAGAGGGGAGAGATTTGAGGGATGTTAGGAGGTAGAATCACTAGGACCTGTTAACTTACTAGGGGGATGACGAAGGAGAGAAATGAGTTGGGATTGGTAACTGGGGGGTGAGGTCAGGTGGTATTCAGCTTTTGGGAGAAAGATAAGCTCACTGAGAGGCATGTCAAATAAGAAGTATGTGTGAAGCACAGAGATGAATATAAGTACAAGAGACAAAGACAATTTAGATCTGGACACACAGATTTGAAAATCATCAGTTAGATGGTAGCTAGAGGCCAGGGATATTGCTAAAAATCCTATAATGCACACAGCCCCCACAACAAAGAATTATGATGCCCTAAATGTCAATAGTACTGAGGTAGAGAAATCCTGTCCTAGCTGTAGAGCCCTTATGTCTGCTACTGGAAAACTCTTTAGGTCACTGCCTAGCAACTAGTGTTCCAAGACTGGGCCTCCAGAAAAAATGCCATGTCCCCTGTGTTGCAGCAGCCCACTGTCCCTGCAGTCCAAGCTCACACAGTAGTGGCAGCTCCAGCCTGTTTCTGTGTGTGCCATCTCCGTCACCTCTGCTGTACCGTCTCCTTGAACGTAGCCCATGCGACGCAGGCAGCCATCATGAAAAACCCTGTTGCAGACCCTGCATGGGAAGAGGCTCTCGGCTGTCCAGACCTCACAGACATCACACATCTCATCGTTGACAACCTGGGGAAAGATGGCAGGAACGAACAGGGATGTGTAAGTACAGGCAGCATGATCCTATGGCCACCAAGCACAGAGCTGCCCACATAGGGCTGGATCTCCCTGGAGCAGCCTAGACAAACAGCTTCAACTAAAGCCAAGGTTAAGGCACTATTTCCTGTCTTGTCTCTCTGGAAGGCAAGAACCAGCAGGTTTTTCCAGCTGCTCAGGCCTCTGTGACCATGTTTCTGAACAGAAATGCTACTATCATTTTGGGAAAAAATAATCTGTTTTGAGAGACTGTTGCAGGCATTGTTGAACACTTAGCATCCTGGTTTTCTTCGCACCAAATACCAGTGGCAACTCCTATAGTTATTGTGACCTCCCGAAAGTCTCCCCACCTGACAGATTTCCAAATGCTCCCTACAAGGGGTAGTACTACCCTTAGGTGGGAAAGCTGGCAGAAGACCTGCCATGTCTCATTCCTTGTCACCTACTGCCTCAAGTCTTTTACTAAGACTAATCCAGAATGTAACTAACATTGTTATTCTTGTGAAAGAAACACAAAGATTGTTCTGAAGTCAACTCTATCTTTCTGGTTTTGAGTCTCACTTTAACCATTACCAGGCCTCCCTGTCCTGCTGCCTGCTCCTCATGTCTAAAGTGAGGAATCTGCCCTGGCTGGTGTGGCTCAGTGGACTGAGCACAGGCCTGTGAACCAAAGGGTCGCTGGTTGAATTCCCAGTCACAGCACAGGCCTGCATTGCAGGCCAGGTCCCCAATGGGGGGGGGCACATGAGAGGCAACCACATATTGATATTTCTCTCCCTCTTTCTCCTACCCTTTCCCTCTCTCTAAAAATAAATAAAATCTTTTTTCAAAGTTAAAAAAATTTAAAATGAGGAATCTGCCCTAACTGGACACTCACAGGCTCTCTGGGCTCCAAGCAGATATCTGGAGGCTTGTCATCATCCAGCTTCCGGGTGGGGCGGACGAAGGCAGGGGGTGTGAAACGGCTGTTCCTGTCAAACTCCTCAGGCTCTACTCCACGCCCATCACGGAGCCTCTCCCAGGCTGCACGGTTGATGCTGCTCTCTTCTTGGAGCACTGGGATGCTTGCTTCCGCTTCTTTCTCCTCCTGCACCTCCTGCACAGAGCCCTCTATAGTGCCATGGGACCCTGGAAGCTCACCTGTGCGTCGAATGGAAGGCCTGTCCCGTAGCCCATCCTTGAAGGCAGACACAGCCAGGCTCACCTTCTGCACCTGCTCCACTGTCTGCCGCTTGGACATCAACACCCCCATGGCTCTGTGAACTAAAAGCAGAGGGGCCAAGACTCAGCCAATGGCTGACCATGTTGAGCCAATCAGTTTCAAGAAACTACCTAAGTGACACTATTACAGTTTTTCTCATTCTAAAATTCAGTAGTGGTGAGATGGAGAGAGTAATTGTTAAGGAATCAGAAGACCTTGGTTCTACTTCTTATTGGCCTTGTGGCTTTGGTTTCCCCATCTATGAAATGAGGGCTATCTGCTCAGCACACTTCATAGGGCTGTCATGAAGATGACATTCATTCATGAGATTAACAGTGCTTAGTAGACTGGAAAACACCCCACAATTGTGAAATGGTATTTCTGTCTTCCTTCCTGTCCCAAAGCCATAGGCTTCTACTACTTTGAGGTAGAGGGAGACCCAAGAGCCCAAGTCTCTCCTCTGCCCCACAAGATAACTCAAGGCTTAAAGCAAGACTACAGCAACATACTCGTATTTCAGACTTCTGATAGAAGGAAAGCTCCTCCAATAAGTGCTGCACACAATCCATCCAGGGGTGATCCACAGCAAATACCTACTTAAAAAAAAGATTTAATTTATTTTTTAAAGATTTACTTACTTTTAAAAAGATTTTATTTTTTTATTTTTAGAGCAAGGGGAAGGTGGGAGAGAGGGTGAGAAACATCTCTGTGAGTCAATCAGCTGCTTTTTACATGCATCACATAACTGGGGACCAAACACACAACCCAGGCATGTGCCCGGACCAGGAGTCGAACTGGTGACCTTTTGTTTTGTAAGTCGATGCCCAACCTATTGAGCCACACTGGTCAGGGCTCAAATGCCTACTTTTTGAGTCAGAGTGAATGAACTCCTATTTTTAGAGGACTCCTGAATAGGCAGTTAGGAATCCCAACCACTCTATCCATGTGGTCCAGGTTACAAACACTCCTTTGCCTCTCTAATTAGTAGCTATACCTTTTTATGGGTCTGTTTTCTATCAACAGACCCAACAACAGAGAGACTGACCCATCACAAGGTCTAAGGTGCTTCTCACATTTCTAAGGCATCGAATGTCACCCCCACATTTTTCTGCTCTGATTTTCTGAACTGTTTGAGAAATGTCCATATCCTTTATAGGTTAAAAAGTATTATCATGCCTACTCTTCCTCAGCAGGACATTGGAAAGTGAGGGCGTACTGCAAAGCCATTTGCTATTTCCTAGTCTGAAGGGTCTTAGTGAAATTCAACTGGGGAATGCCGGTTCCATGTAAAGTGGAGCAGAGTCCATTTTAGCCTTGCTCTCAACTCATTATAATCAAGGCTTATTGAGCAGTACTATGTGCAAGGCACTAATCACTCATCATAGGAAATAGAAGACAGGAGAACAGTCCTACTGCTCAAGCTACTTAATATCAGGACTCAAAGAAGAGTGAGACAGAGTGCTGGAAGTGCTTCAAGGAAGGAGAGACCACACTACTGGGAGTCAAAGTGAACTTTAGAGGACGGGCAGGAAGTTATCCTTTTTTTCAGGGGGGAAAGGTGACAGAGGATAGGAGGAAAGGTTAGGGCCAATTAAAAGGCTGCTATAATAGTTCAGGCAAGATGTAGAGGGTTTCAACTGAAATGATGGCAGCAGGAATGATGATGACTGAGACTATTTGATTCCATGGAAATAGAATTAGAGAAATTTAGGAATAGAATACCTGATTGGTCAAAGGTAAAGGGAGAGAGGGTAGTTTTATATTTATTTCCCAGCTTTATTGAGATATAAGTGACATAAGTGGTGTAAGTTTAAGGTGCACAATGTAATGGTTTGATACACACATACACTGAAATGCTCACCACAATAAGGTTACTTAGCACAACCTTTACCTCCCATAATTATCATATTGTTGTTGTGCTGAGAACATTAAAGCTCTACTCCTATAGCAATTTTTAAGTCAGATCCCAGAAGTTTTTCATCTTATAACTGAATATTTCTTTCCTTTGACCAACATCTCTCCACCCCTCAGTCCCTGGCAACCATCTGTTTCTACGAGTTCAATGTCTTTAGTCTGTATATAAGTGAGATTAGGCAGTACTTCATTCAGTCTTTACTTTTAGTTTTTATTGAGTTTATTGGTGTGACATTGGTTAATAAGGTGTACAATTCTATAATACATCATCTGCATACTATATTTTGTGTTCACCACTCAAAGTCAAGTCTCCTTCCATCACCATTTATCTCCCTTTTCCCTTTTCAACCATCCCCACCCCTCAGTCTGACTTATTAAGAGGGCAGGGGTTTCCACCCTCCCTTTTTTAGAGAGAGAGGAAGGGATGGGGGAGAGAGAGAGAAACATCAACGTGAGACAGAAACATTGCCTGGTTGTCTCTCACATGTGCCCTGACCAGGAATCAAGCCTGTGACCTTTCACTCTGTGGGATAATGCCCAATCTACTGAGGCACACTAGTCAGGGCGAGCGGGCAGTTTTAAACTGACTCACTAGAACAAAAGTAGCGCCATTTGCAGAAACTGAAAAATAAAAAAGAGGGACAGTGAAATTGGATTTTGTACATGTTGATTAACATGTCTCTGGGACATCCAGGCATTATGTTAATCCCTGCTTAAAACTTTTCGATGGTTTTCTATAGCTTTCAGGATAAAGTCCTCTAAATCAGTCTCTCTGTGGTGGCCCGTGAGGCTCTGCTTGGTCTGCCATCTTTTCTTACTCTGTTCCAACCCTACTGGACTTCTTTCAGTCCTTGCTTGGCATGCTGCCTCCATTTTTGGGGAACTCTGAACATTCCTTCTCTCCTGAACAGTGGCTGTTCATCTCTCAGAGCTCAGCTCAAACACTGTTCCCTCGGGGAGGTCAGTGCCAACTCCCCAGTCCAGGGTGAACTGCTCACAGCACTGCGCTCTTCTGTGCTGGAGCACTTATCTTTGCCATTACATATTCAGTAGGACGAGCATCCGATCAATGTCAGTTTCCTCTATTAGACTGTTTTCACCCTGCACAGTGCCCATCTCCACTCCCTAGCAATGGGTTTGGAAGAGAACAGACAGTAAACATTTCCCAATTAATTACGGAAACTGTGAAGAAGTCTTTCTGATATTTCATAAATTCTTAATATACATAATATCTGATGACAGCCACATCTTCCTTCCAGAAATAAAATTTTTAAATATTTTATTTTATTGATTATGCCATTACATTTGTTCTATTTCCCCCCTTCATTCCCCTCCACCCTGCACACCCCTCCCCCACCATTCCTCCCCTTTAGTTCATGAACACGTGTCTCAAGTTCTTTAGATTCTACATTTCCCCTACTACTCTTATCCTACACCCTATCTATTTTCTATCTACTGTCTATGCTACTTATTTTCTGTACCTTCTCCCCCCTTCTCCTTCTCCCACTCCCCTGTTGCTAACCCTCCATGTGATCTTCATTTCTATGGTTCATTCCTGATCTAGCTGTCCTCTTAATTTGCTTTTGTTTTAGGTGTGGTTGTTGATTAACTGTGAGTTTGCTGTCCTTTCACTGTTCATCTTTTTTATCTTCTTTTTCTTAGGTAAGTCCCTTTAACATTTCATATAATAATGGCTTGGTGATGATGAACTCCTTGAATTTGATCTTATCTGAGAAGCACTTTAACTGTCCTCCCATTTTAATGAAAGCTTTGCTGGATAGAGCAATCTTGGTTGTAGGTCTTCGGTTTTCATGAGTTGGAATACTTCTTTCCAGCCCCTTCTTGCCTGTAAGGTCTCTTTTGAGACATCAGCTGACAGTCTGATGGGAACTCCTTTGTAGGTGACTGTCCCCTTAGCTCTTGCTGCTTCTAGGATTCTCTCCTTCATTTTCATCTTGCCTAATGTAATTATGATGTGCCTTGGTATGTTCCTTCTTGGGTCCAACTTCTTTGGGACTCTCTGAGCTTCCCGGATTTTCTGGAAGTTTATTTCCTTTGCCAGAATGGAGAAGTTTTCCTTTATTATTTGTTCAAATAAGTTTTCCACTTGTGACTGTTCCTCTTCCCCTTCTGGTACCCCTATAATTCAGATGTTGGAGAGTTTAAAGATGTCCTGGAGGTTCCTAAGCCTCTCTTCATTTTTTTGAATTCTTGTTTTTTCATCCTTTTCTGTTTCATCATCTTTTCCTTCCTTTGGTCTGCTCCCTTGATTTGAGCCCTAGTTTCCTTTCCATTACTATTGGTTTCCTGTGCATTACCATTCATTTCAATTAGTTTAACCTTCATATGTTCCTCTAATTTGTGACTAAAATCAACCAGTTCTGTGAGGATCCTGATCACCAGTGTTTGAAATGTGCATCTGAAAGTTTGGCTATTTCTTCATCACTTAGATTTATCGGCTCTGGGGCTCTGAGTTGTTCTTGAGCCATGTTTTGATCTGTTCGTGCCTGTTATGTATAAGGAGAGTCGCCTTTGGTGTTCACCAGAGCGGGGCCACCCAGGTCTCTGGTTTGTGATGCTGTATGTGGGGGCGGGGTCAGAGAGGGAGCAATGGCGGTCTCAATGCACGTCTCTTCACTGGTTTATCTGCGAGCAAATGAGTGACCTCAGACAGCCAGCCATGCCCCAAGCCTTCCCTAGCTACCCTCACCTGGGATCCGCGCCCTCGGCTGCTTGCACGCTGCAGGGGTTGGGGGGATTGTTTTGGCCTGACCTGCTCCGCTGCTGGCTTCGCCCTACTCGCCGGTTTAGCTGAGCCATTCGTTGTTTTTGGACTCCATATTGTTTGAAACAACTCCATATTGTTTTCTGTGGTTTGGTTGCGTTTATTGTTGTTAAAACTTTGTTGTTTTTAGATGTGGTTGTGCGAGGAAGCAAAGTGTTTCTACCTACGCCTCCATCTTGGGGGAAGTCCCCAGAAATAACTCTTGTATGTGCTACAGTGGTGCAGGTTCCTACCCTGCCTGGGTGCTTGCCCTACCATCAACTGTTACCAAAGACACCCCATCCTTATTTTTGAATTTAAAAACTGACGGATGAGAAAAAATCCCCTATCCCCATTTGTACAATTTGTTTGTACAATTAAAGTATATGGCTAAGAAATATTTACTTTGAGTAAGTAACTGTATTTTACAGGGTGGTGGCAAAGGAGATTTATTGAGGAAAGATTATTGATCAACTTCAGGAAATAGTTTAAGGTGTTCATGCCCCAGTGAGCAATTAATAATAAATTGTAATTTAAAAATCCCTTTTCCCCAACTGCAAAAAAAAAAATTAGACAACAGGGGAATGGTTCAATTATAGTACAGCGGAAAAGTAAACAATAAGAAACATATTGAAGTAAAAAGTGTACTTATTAATGTGGAAAGGTGTTTAAAATTTGAGTATATTCATGAAAAAAGCAAGTTACAAAAAATGCTCCCTTGAGATTTTCTTTTTCTTTTTCTTTTAATCCTCACCTGAGCACATGCTTATTGATTCTAGAGGGGAAGGAAGAGAAACATCTATTGGTTGCTACTCCTTTATACCCCAGTAGGAGACCTCTTATAGGCAAACAACCAGGGGCTGAACCTGTAGCCCAGGCATGTGCCCTGACCAGAATCAAACCCACGGCATTTGCATT